TAACATGTTCAGACATCCCCCACCTCAAATTCTTATATTGTTGCCAAGATCCTTTTTTCATAAAGATTTAATTATTAATTTATTAGAGAGAGACAGAGAGAAGGTGGGGAGGTCGAGGCTAGAGACAGAATCCTCAAGCAGACTCTGCCCTAAGTGGGGAGCCCAGTGAGGGGCTCAATCTCAGGATGCTGAGATCATGAACTTAGCCAAAACCATGAGTCAGACAATTAACTGAGTGAGCCACCAGGCACCTTGCTGCTTTTTTCTACCATGGGCACTCCTGTACCTCTTGCCTTAAGTTACTGAAGCTTGGGGGTTTGGTCTGATCTCCAATCCCCAACCCTCCTGGTGGCTACAGTGCTGACTGCATTTCTTCCCTATTCCACCTCAGGGTAAAAATGCTTCAGCCATGAAGAGGAATGAGACCTGCATGGTGTGGACTATCCAGGCAGACCTCTGGAGAAGTGAGTAGAAAATCTGGTGCCCACCTTCCTTGGCAGAGACCTCACCTACATCTCCACATTCCTGGGCACCTACAGAGCTTTTGCCACCATGCAAGAGGTGCTGGACCTCCTGTTTACAAGTACCATACCCCTAACAGCCCAGGGGGATTTGGCCACTGCCTGATTGTGAGTCTTGGGAATGTCACCAAACTTCCCTGAGCCTCAGCTTGTTCTTCTGCCTGGGACACAGTTATTATAGGGACTCAGTGGTGTCCTGTAGGGAAAGTACACGAGGGTCCCTGGCCCTGTGGCAAGGTATGCTAGAGGGGATGTGGCTGTGCTCATTCATTATTGTCCTGCTCCCCATGATGAAGCCTTTGCCTCATCCATCATTGTCACCATGGTCTTGAGGTGGGCTGTGCCCCCCCCCCCTTATAGGCTCCATGAACAAAATGGGGCTTGAACTCAATACTCTGAGATCAAGAGTCAGGTGCTGTGCTGACTGAGCCAGTCAGGCACATATTAAACCTATTGAGCACCTAGGTGTCAGAATATATCTATTCATTTATCTACCTTAACACAATTTTTTTGGAAGAATGTTTCTTGATGTTAGTCTGACACTGATTTTTGGATTTGACATCAGAAGCAAAGGCTACAAAGCAAAAATAAACAAGTGGGACTATATCAAACTAAAAAGCTTCTGCACAGAAAAAGGAAATAACCAATCATCAACACAGTGAAAAGACAACATACTGAATGGAAGAGAACATTTGCAAACTCCCTATCTGATAAAGGGTTAATATTCAAATTATTAAAGAACTCATACAACTCAATAACACAAAAACAAACAACAGTTACAAAATGGGCAGAGTTCAGAATAGACATTTTTCCAAAAAAACCACACAGATAGCCAACAAGTACATGGAGAGATGTTCAACACCACTTCTCATCAGGGAAATGCAAATCAAAACCCAAAGAGATGGCACCCAACACCCGTCAGAATGGGTAGTAGGAAAAAGACCAGAAATAACAAGGGTTGGCCAAAATGTGGAGGAAAGGGAACTCAGTGCTCTGTTGATGAGATTGTCAATTTGTGCAGCCACTATGGAAAACAGTATAAAGGTTTCTCAAAATATTCAACATAAGGGCCCATGGCTGGCTCAGTCAGAAGAATATGTGACTCTTTTTTTTTTAAGATTTTATTTATTCATTTGACAGAGAGAGATAGCGAGAGCAGGAACACAAGCAGGGGGAGTGGGAGAGGGAGAAGCAGGCTTCCCACCGAGCAGGGAGCCCGATGTGGGACTCAATCCCAGGACCCTGGGATCATGACCTGAGCCGAAGGCAGACACTTAACGACTGAGCCACCCAGGCGCCCGAGTATGTGACTCTTGATCTTGGGGTCATGAATTCTAGTGCCACGTTGGGGGTAGAGATTACGTCAATTCAAAAAAATTCAAAATAGAACAACTATATCATCCAACAATTCCCCCCCTAGGTATTAAAATAAAAAAAAAATGAAATCGCAAACTCGTAAAGAAACCTTCAACTCATAAAGATATCTTCAGGAAGTGGACAAAATAGGTAAGGAGATCGAAACTAATAGAAAAAGAGAATATCAGGAGTGAAATTGGAGAGTAAATATGACTTCAATATATTAATTTCTAGCTTCCTCTATTTCAAGTACCTTGTTAATTCATTCTATTGCATTCAATTCTTCTGACCTATCAGAATTCCTCATTATGATGTGGTTGTAGTTTTTGAGATGAGTTGTTTAATTAGTATGTATTACAGATCAACAAATACTTATATTACTTATATTCCTAATTGTGTGAGTCTTTAAATATCTTTATAGCTTTTTGAAGTATAATTATGTAATCAAAACCTCCATAGATCTGAGTGTACAATTTCATGAATCTTCATATATGTACACACCAGTAAAACAATCACTGTAATTAAGTTAATATAAGGTAATTAATCCATCACACCCAAATTATATTTCCTGCTTGATTTTTAGTCCAAGGTTAGCTTGATGTGTGAGTTCTGTTGGTCCCTACAGAGTCACTCTTTCCCCATGGAGAAGGTTTTTATATAGAATGAAATAACTGCTTGACTGTTCTGTACTGATAGGAGTTCATAATATAGTTTGATCTAAAGATAAATTTTAAATGCACTTGGGTGGTCAGTCGATTGAGCATCCATCCGACTCTCGATTTTGGCTCAGGTCATGATCTCAGGGTCATGATATCAAGCCCAGCATTGGGCTCCATGCTGACTAAGGAGACTACTTGGGATTCTCACTCCCCCTCTGTCCTTTCACTCACTCCTGCCACCGCTCATACTTGCTCTCTTTCTTTCACACAAAAAATTAAGAAAATAAAGAAAAAATTTAAAATAACCAATTTGAAAGTTCCAAGGCCTTCCATGGAGGAGAGACCATACACTGACAGCTTACAAGACCTAGCCCATCTGTGTTGGAAAAAGTCTGAGTGGTGTAGGTGGGAATCAGATCTGAGAATTGTAGCCCAAAGGGACAAAGGAAAGATATTAATTAAACTAAATTCATTTATATGAATATGTTCAGTTAAGATTTGGGATTTAAAGGACTGCCCACACCACTTGCATGTGGTGTTGGTATTCTGGACTCTATATTGGGTCAATAAGATCCAAAATGCTGGGATTTCCTTAGTATACTGTTAAAGAAGGCAGGAAGAAGTCAGGAAGCATAAGAATCAGGAATGTTGAGAAATGGTTCTGTGATGTGCAATGTGCTCAGCCATCCCTAATCAAGCTTGCTGAGAGACGCAGCAATCAGTGCGCTACCTTCATCAACACACTTACAGAGGCATGGGTACAGGAGGTACCAATGTCCTCTGTACCTCTGTCCACAGAGGAGCTCTGTGGGAGCTGTCCTATACTGCAGGAGAAGATGGGAGGTGAAGAGTGGCAGGAGAGGATGCTTCAACCAGCAGAAACAAGATGTATGCAGTCACCCAGTAAGCCACAGGGACAGAATGGTAAACAGAGGATGTGATCCTCAGGGGTGTGTGCTGTTGGATAGTTGATCAGGTCTGTCCAAATTGAAATTGTTGGGCAGTGTACCAGAAAAATAAATATCTAGATACAGTAGTTACTACAGTGAAGAGTCACAGTCTCTTCCCCAGCTGTGAGCCCTAATCTAGTGTGGGCCTCTGAGCCCCATGACTCAGGGGGAGACAGGAGCTCTTTGAAGGAATGGCCCCATAGATTTCCAGATTTGTGCTATGCATCCCAAATTACCAGTGGGACCAACTCAGGGAAAAAGAGAAACGCTACATTTTCTGGGAACTTATATAGAATGATTCTGAACATATGCTGATGCCCAAAGGCCAAAACTGTTTTTTTTTAAGATTTTATTTATTTACTTGAGAGAGAGCAAGAGTCAGAGCAAGAGAGCACAGAGCACAGAGGGAGAGGGAGAAGCAGACTCCCCACTGAGTGGGGAGCCCGACGTGGAGCTCCAACCCAGGACTCCGAGATCATGACCTGAGCTGAAGGCATGACCAACTGAGCCACCCAGGTGCCCCTCAAAGACCAGAACTGTTAAATGGCCTGCCCAACAATTGGAGTGGGAGCTTTGAGAGGTGTGAAAATAGAAGAATCCTTGTCCTACATTTAACAGTTTGTTCACTGAGACTACAGATTCATCCTGTGCTCATTTCCCTGGTTCCAGAATGTGGAGTGGAAATACATACATTAGCACCTGGTGGAATTCCCAGTTTGGTTTCTGAACTTTGGAATGATGGTTATTAGGGAAGAGAAGAACAAAGAGAGGCCCTTGGAACCATGCCCTCCCTCAGACTAAACCAGAGGCCATGCAACATCCATGGAGGAGATGGGAAAGATTAATAAGTTTATGAAGCTCTGCAGAGAGGCAGAGTTGGTTATTTCTACCATTGCTCATTTTACTGACTGGTCTACTGTGAATATCAAATGGGGGTTGTTGAGACTGACATGACTTTCACAGACTTCATCAGATGAAGACGCAACTGCATCTGTGATTCTGTCTCTGGATTGCCTTGTGGAGGAAAACTGCCAGGTGGAACACTGCAGCCCACTGGGAACAAATCTCTTGCCCTGAGGTACTGCTTCTGAAGGAATGTCTATGACCAGCAAAGTCAACAATACAAGCTCAGAGCCATGTTAAAATTATCACTGATGAAAACAGGCTAGACAACTGCCAAGAAGGCCACCTCTTAAGGAGGGCACATGATGTGATGAGCAATTAATGAATAATTGAATATTACATCAAAAACTAATGATGTACTATATGTTGGCTAACTGAATTTAAATAAAAAAAAGGAAAAAATAAAATCAACTAACAAAAAAAGGAAAGAATGTAAATTTGGCAAATATACTTGAATATATCCTAGTCAAAAAGGAAAGCAAAGAAACAGACATACTGAGCTGGTGAGTGGCTGAGGGGAGAATTGCCTGCATTACCCGTTGGCTTTAAATTATCGAGTGACTGGGCAGCCACGCACCACAGTCGCTATTTTGACTATAACCTGCCTCATAGATTGAAGTGAATTCTCCTTCTTTCATCAACAGAGCTGAAGTTGATTGGGCATTCGGAAGCAGTCACTGAAAGGAAGTACTTAGAAGACCCATGGCAATGACCCATGAGCAAAACTTCTCTACTTCCTCTGGACACCCATTCTCCTGTTGACTGCACAGCTTCTCCTGCAGAGTTCACTCTGTAGATGAAAATGGTCATTAGGAGGGAGCAGTGGCAGGTCTTGGCCCTGAAGTGTCCCAGAGGAGTGAGGTCTGGTAAGTGAAGCCAGTGGACATTTCCATTGCCAAGGCTACTGATGTTTGCACAAAGCAACATGAAGAAACACGGAGAAAACTCTGCAGTCCAAGGCCTGGGGTACCACATGGGAAAGGGCAGCCTTGGTTTGCTCTCCCATCCCCCAAAATACCTCCTGCCTCAACAGAGAATGGGCCAGGTGATGGGCTGTTCATCTTTCCTCTGAAGAAGCACCCAACCTTTTGGATTTCATTGGTAACCCTACTTTTTTCTCTTTATTTACTCATCTCATGGTCCTCTGGGGGAGCAGTTAGCAACCACCATTTGGGCAAAGAAATGTCAGAAGCTGACATTCACAGATGGCTATGGGGAGGGGCAGGAAATGAGAGACAGGGAGGCAGGCAAAGGCCCCATCTCATGAGAAGAGATGAGAGCTGGCCAGCAAATGTGTCACCCTGAAGAGGAACATGCTAGAGAGAAACATAATTTTCTTACCTGCTCCTCAGAACCATAACGCTAGGGTGGGTGTAAATTTCTGTTTCTTATGATTTCCCTAATAGAGACAAGAGAAGAGAGGCACAATGAGATGAGGACACAGGCCAAAGACCCAGAGGGCCTGGGCCCACCTAGTTCTCAAATAGGAAGTGAAGAATACCCAGAGAGACCACCCTGCAGAACTCTAAGGGACGAGACACACACAGAAAAAGGTGAATGGGGGCCCTGGTGTGTACAATTTAAAGAACTCTCACACTTCGGAATATTCTAGAGCAGTAAGGAGCAATGATACTCACCCAGAAAAAGTTGTAGATTTTTTTCCAAAGGCTGCTAAATTTTATTTTATAAGGGGACGGAAATTAGAAGAACCAGTAAGGAGATATTAAAGAATAGAGAAAATAGAAAGATCATGGACGTCAAGCTCAAGTAGCAAAAGGGTGGTATCTGGCAGGGTTTGGTATCTGTGCCTTTATTGGGAAACCCAGGAGGGAGTGTATAGAGGGTGGGATACATAATTAAGTGTAAACTGAGGCACAGTGACTCTCCTAGACTTGTGATATCTAAGTAGGATGTGCCTGTTTCTCAAGAGAGAGGCAGGAACTAGAGATCCAGACCCAGTAGCCTCTTGGTAACTTTAGCTGGTAATGAAGCCAAGGGGGCACATACAAAAGGAATTGGCGGCTCAATCCCAGGGCTTTGGCCTACAAGTAAACCCAAGACCACATCAACAGTTTTTATTATTGCAAAGTAGATAGTAGAGAAAATTATGTGTGAATTTAGAATCAAATGAGGCTCCCTAGTGGAATAACCCAAGTCAGATATGAAAGGCTTCCAGGATGACTTTTTCACTTACATCACATTTGTCAGCCCAGACAAACATTTCTCCACCAAAATCACAGCAAGTTCTTATTCAACCTTATATGCCACTCTCGATATAACGGATCCAACAGATTTCACACAGTTTTGGATTTTCTAAAAACTGAAAAGTGTTAAATCAAACCTTTATATCATGAAACAAACTGCCAGGGTACTATCCAAACATTTCACACTCTCAAAGTCATTTGACCAAGATAGCACTGCTAGAAAGTAAGATATAATCAGCTGGCAGAACATGTTGGGCAGATGCACAATGGAATGCCTCTTATGTGGAATTCACATAGCTAAACTCCACACAGACAAGTACTGGTCTACTGCTTTAAGGGGCAGGGATGGGGAGAAAGACACCAATGATCTTCTAGCATGTAAGTTAAATATGACTTGCAAATGTGATCTCAATTGTTATCCCATTGTTTTTAGTATTCTTTTAAAATAAATATTCCTTGTTCATAATGAAAAGACCACTCACAAATCTTTCCACAAAGAATTCAAATGCATATTTTTCAGGTTCTGGTAAGTTCTATTCTAGTCCATTTGCTTCTTAATGGACTTTATGGGCTTCTAGTCTCTAAGAAATGTTCAACATCAATGCAATTCTCTGAATATGCTATCATAGAGTCATAAAAATTCTGTCAGTAAGCAAATATAATAGCAAGTGAAATTGAAAACATAACAAAAAGTAATATAACCAATAAATTATATTGAAATATGAGGAGTATAGTTTTTTTAAAAAGTAAACATTTTTTTTAAGTATGCTGTACCCCCAGCATGGAGCTCAATGCAGGGCTTAACCCTGAGATCAAGACCTGAGCAGAGATCAAGAGTCGGATGCTTAACCAACTGAGCCACCCTCTTTTTAAAATTTTTTTGAGTATTAAGTAAACTCTTTTTTTTAAAATGTAAACTCTACACCTGACATGGGGCTTGAACTCCCAACCCCCACAATCAAGAATCACGTTCTCTATAGACTGAGTCAGCCAGGATGCCCTAAATAGTACTTTTACTGAGTAGTTTAAAGGAAGAGGAAAAATGCAAATCCTATAATCCATATACAAAAAGGAGGTGACATTTTTTTATATAATGAATCTAATAGAACTTGCTCAACATATTTGGTGCCAACAATAGAAAGACACCATGTACTTAAATCCTTGGGTCACACATCGTAAAACACAGTGTTCCCTTCTTTATTATTTCCATGAACCCAGTCACCACCCACCAAACACAATCACTGCCTTCATCTTCAGACACAAAAGGTCCCAAATTCACATTGGGCAATGGCAGTCTAAACAATCAAAATCTCCTTTAGCTGATTTTCTTTAGCTCTACAGTAGAGCAGAGCTCTAAATATGCGAGGTATCACTATTAGGAGAAAGGTAGCTGCTGGTGCCGCCACTTATACAGACTCGTGAGGCTGCATTTACTTTTGCACATGGGAAACCAATATACTGGGAAGAGATGGGACATCAGTGCCCCATGTCTTCCAGGAGATCAGGGGGATACTTTAAAAGGGAGGCAGATGGAAGGACTGTCTGCCCGCACTATTGTCACAGCGCTGCTATGGACTTACTGATGAAGCATCTTGCTTTCCCCCCTGTGTATGTAATTCTGTGTAAGGATGCAAAATTATTGTCCATACAGGACCTGTCTCATTGCATACTGCAGGGAGGGATCCTTTTAATTGTGGTATAAAAAGAGACCCAAATGAATAATGTTTGGGCATTTTTAAACAAAACTTTAAAACCTAATAAAGTCTTACTTTTCTTCAGAACGTTTTCCATCCCCCTGAAAATAAAAGGACTGTTTTCAGGCCACTACAACTCTGGCATAACAGACAATACCACTTCCAGTGGGTCCAGGGTATGGGGACACTGAGGGGATGGCAGAAGGGAGGCAGCTATTTTCCTATCCAATCAACACCTCCGAGCACTTCCTTGGAAAGGAGGAAGGCATGTACTTCCTCCAGACGTCCACAAGCATATGTGGGATGATATCTATGAAATTGGAGGAGTGGTGTCTCATGTAGGAAATACCTCCAACAACATTTTCTTCCTCTTCTCACCTTCTCTGAGTCTGCTACTGGTAAGATTCCACCCCACAGTCCCTACTGGTGTCTGTGTGTGTGTGTGTGTGTGAGCACATGCACACTTGCTCATGTGTGCACATGTGTGTAAACCAGGGCTCACAACCTGGAGGCCCTGAAGATGACAGCCCCACCTACAGAGGGATGGGCAATAGCTTCCCAAGATCTTAGGCTTTTCAATTTCCAAAGCAAACCCTAAAGGAGGGGTTGGAGCCTTGGCCCTTGAAGGTCAGAATCGACCCTTAACCCTAGAGTCTCCCTGTCCTGTGCTGTGAGCCATTACCTCCTTTCCAATGGGTGTGATGTGGATAGGGGGCCACTCAGGGGGTTGCCGTGACCTGGCTCCTCCTCAGACAAGAACGTGCTGGAATGCCTCCTGTAGGATATCAATGCTCACCCTCACCCCCAACACCATCTCCATGTCTGTAGCCACTTACTTCAACACGACCTTTTCCAGAGCCCCCACTGAATGGTGAGGTGCATCCAGGGCCCCAACTTTGAGGACATTCAAAGAGCCGGGTTCGTGCCTGGTCCAGCCTTCTTACCAGTCCTTGATTCTGGGCAAGGCCCTGACCCGGCAGGGGTCTTCCCCTTCTCCCCTCAGTGGCTCCCGCCGATCCCCAACTCCTGTGTACACATCCTTGTGTAAACCCCTCCCCTGGAGTGTGATCTGGACGTAGTGATTCACTTCCATTCCACAGAACATGGCAACACGACCCAAAGCCCCTTCCGAGATTCGGTTATAAAAGCTCCGTGCCCGGCCCCGTGCTGACCCTGATCCGTGTTCTCTCAGATCCCCACACTGGGGAACAAGCCCCTATGTGGAACCATGACACAGGCATGTGCACGTGGCCTAGCACCGAGGGCCAACAACAGACAGAAGAACTCAGGCCTTCGAGATGGACTGAATCCTGCCAACACCCCTAAGTGAGCTCGGGTTCTAAGTGAAGCAGGTCCTGCCTTGGTGTTGTCAACAGCCCCAACCTCCTGAGAGGCTCTGGTAGGAGCCCCCAGCTGAGCACTGCTGGGGTCCTGATCTCCGGAGACTGTGACCCAATGAGTGTTTGTGGGCGAAGCCACCGAGTGTGGGGAGATGTGGTGTGACCCAGTACTAGGAGCAGGGCGCTGAGACTGTCCACCTGCCCCAGGCTCTGCCCCTCCTCCTCTCCCTCTCTGCTCTCCTCCTCAGCTTCCTCCAGCCACCCTGGCCTCCTTTCTAACCTCCACTCTGGCAACATCAACTTGGGCCTCCACTCCTCTGCAGCGTGGTGCCCTCTGCTGGCTGCATATACTCGGATTTGTGCTGGGGTGTCTCCTTGGCCTGCCTCAGGAAATCTCAACGTCACCTCAGCACGGCCTTGTCAGACCCCTCACCTGCCGGAGCTCGGGACCCAGCTGTCGCCCCTGCTCTCTTCCTATGGAGCAACTGCTCTTTTCATTCACGTTTTTCATTCATGTTTGTCCATCTTCCCTCTAGACCCTGAGCTCCTAGAGGGAGAACCCGGGTGGCTGAGAAGCACCTGCCTCATCTGAGTGCTCAGGGCACAGCGGCTGATGAACAGGCCAGAGGATCCATCCCACCACCGACCAGCTCAATTGTTGGAGCCTAATTGATTTGGGTCCTTTGGAAGTGCTTTTGTTTTCTTTTGTTTTGTGTTTTAAATAAACTCTGTGTTCGATGTGGGGCTCAAACTCACCACCCCGAGATCCAGCGCCACGTGTCCTACTGACTGAGGAAGCCAGGTGCCCCTTTGGTCATTTTAAAGCTACTAGGCTGATAACTATTGAAGTTAACTTGGTGATTTCAACATTTAGCCGGTATATTTCGTTATGCTGAATTACCAGATATCTCCCCAAGGTTCGGTAGCATGTCACCATGGATTCCCCCACATGACAGCGCTGAGTGGCTGTTCAGATGGGAGATGGAGTGCCTTCCTGTGGTCATTCAGGACCCCAGAGTCCCTGCACCGTGGGCCTTCTCCCTCCCTGGGAGGTCATGTACCTCTGCAGCCATGAGCACAAGGGGGAAGGTGACAAAGATATACATACAGGAGAGTGTTCTAGCCAGGTCTAAAAGGCTCAAAATGTCCACCTTCATGCTCAATCTTTTATTTTATTTTTTTAGGATTTTATTTATTTATTAGAGAGAAAAAAGCACAAACAGAGGGGAGGGGGCAGAAGGGAGAAGGAGAACCAGAGAGATGCTGGGGATGAGGAGGACAGGGGGTGGCTTAATGGGCCTGTGGAGGGAACAGCTTGGGCCACGCAGAGCAAGCCTCCATTGATTGTGGTTGGGCCGGGAGCAGTGAGTAGTCTCAGATCCCTGTCCCCATGGCCTGCAGTCTGGGGAGACCTCCCAGTGATTGGTTCTTGGACTCAGACAACATTGAGTGGTGGGAAAAGTTTCCTTTATTTAGAAGGGACCTGGGAAGCCCATCAGGCTGATGATACTTTCTTTTCTGTGAGCTACAGCACCAGCCCCAGAACAAGGTCCAGAATCACCTGAAGAACTCGGCCCAGCTCCCACTGTGGCACCTGCTGCAGCCTCAGAGCCCGAGTGCCGCAGGTGGGGATGAGTGTGAGGGGCATATGGCTGAGGATGCAGCAGAGGGGAGGCACCCCACTTAAGGAGACTACTGCAAAGTTTTATAAGCAAAGAAGTGCCAAGTTAAAACTCTTAGAAGTCTTCTACTCTGGGGGATGCCCCTGGCTTAAAGGTGTTCAAGTGGGGAAGCAGGATGGAGTCCCCGCTGTGACAGCATGATCTCAAGATCCCGGGGGTCACAAGAAGAGCGGGTGGGGCCTGAATGCTTCAGAGTCCCCAGACGTCAGATCGGAAGGGCTAGCTGAAAACCACGAGTCTAGGTGCTGGCTTCCTGCTCTATGTAGTCCTAAACCACGAATCCCAGCACGGTTGCGGGGTGGCTTTCCTGGGAGAGGTCCAGCAAAAAGCAGAAGCTTGGCAAGCCCTCCAACACCCAGGACATACAGCATGGGTCTGGGCCACAGGAATCCATAGAACCTGGAGTTGGAACTCAGTCTCGGGCCTGAGATAGGAACGCTTCGTCACTGGCAGGTGAACACAGAGTTCTGACAGAAACCGGGGAGGTAAGACAGACTGCTTTTCTGTGAGGGCTCACTGAAGAGCTGGGGGAGCAAATTTTCAGCTCCTGGGTAGGGAGCAGGGTGCAGCCATATTCATCCCGCCCATTGGGGCCGCAAGCCTTCAGGGAGTAAAACAGCGCCACCTCCTGGAATCCAGAGCCGCTTACACTGAGGCCTGCCTCTGCTGGGAGAGGGGCATTTGCACTAGTTGAAGTACACCTGAGGATCAGTGCTCAGGGCCCTCCCCCTGAAGGCCAGCACAAACCACTCAGTCCTGTCGTGTTTACTGATCAGAAAGGGCTGCAAAGCTTCAGCTCCTAAGGGAAACACTAGTAGCATTCTTTGTATTTTTATTTTTTAACGTTTTATTTTTTTCAGGTATTTTTTCTTATTTTTTCGTCTTTTTTATTATTAGTTTGTTTGATTCCTCTCATTGTATTTTTTTTTCTTTCTTCTTTTCTTTTCTGGACACAATGACGAGATGGAGAAATGCACCCCAAAATAAAGAACAGGATGTAGTACTCACTACCAGGGATTTAATCACTATGGATAGAAGTCAAATATCTGAACTAGAATTTAAAACAGTGATTAGAAAGATACTAGATGGTTTAAAAAAAAAAAAAAAGCGTAGGAGACACTAGAGAATCCCTCATTGTAGAAATAAAAGAACCAAAATCTAGACAGGCCCAAATTAAAAATGCTATTACGGAGATTCAGTCCCCAACGAAGACTATTAAAAGGATGGCAAAGGAGGCAGAAGAGTAAGTCACCAATATAGAAAATAAAATAATGGAAAATAAAGAAGCTGAAAAAGAGAGAAAGAAAAATATTGGATCACAAAGGGAGATTTTGAGAACTCAGTACTTCCCCAAAGTGAAAAAATATCCAGATAATAGGGGTCCCCGAAGATGAGGGGAGGGACAGAGGGGGAGAAGGTTTATTTCAACTAATTGGAGCTGAGGACATCCCAACTCTGGGGAAGGAAACATGTACTCAAGTCCAGGAGGCACAGAGAACCCCTCTAAAATCAATAAAAATATGTCACCATCTTGACATATAATAGTCAAGCTTCCAAATTTCAACGATAAAGAGAAAATCCTGAACGCAGCTCAGGACAAGAGGGCCTTAACCTACAAGGATAGATACATAAGTCCAGCAGCACACGTGTCCCCAGAGACCTGGCAGCCCAGAAAGCACTGCATGATATATTCAATGTGCTAATGGGAAACTTACGCACTCAAGAACACTTCATCCAGGGAGCGTGTCATTCAGAGTAGAAGGAGAGATAAAGTATTTCCGGGACAAACAAAAACTTAAGGATTATGAACACTAAACCAACCCGAAAAGAAATATTTTGGGGGATCCTTTGAGTGGAGAGAGAGCCCAAAGGTAACAAAAATCCAGAAAGGAACAGAGACAATCTAGAGAAACAGCACCTTTGCAGGTAAATCAATGGCACTGAATTCATTCCTTTCAATAATTTACTCTGATGTAAATGGACTCAGTGCTCCAATCAAAAGACAAAGGCTATCAGCATAGATTAAAAAACAAAACAAAACAACAACAACAACAAAAAGACCTATCAATATGCTGCTCACAAGTGACTCATTGTAGAGCCAAAGACACATCCAGATTGAAATTGAGGGCATGGAGAATCCTTTATCACGCTAATGGACGTGAAAAGAAAGCTGGAGGAGCCATCCTCATACATCAGAAAAAAAAAAAAAAAACAGATTTTAACCAAAGCCTATTATAAGAGACAAAGAAAGATACTATATCATAATAAAAGGGTCTATCCAACCAAAAGATCTAACAATTAAAAGTATTTATGCCCCTAAGTTGGGAGCAGCCACATATATACACCAATGAATAACAAAATTAAAGAAACTCACTGATAATAATACAATACTAGTAGAGGTCTTTAAAACCCCACTCACAGCAATGGACAGATCATCTAAGCAGAAGATCAACAAGGAAACAAGGGCTTTGAATGACACACGGGACCAGTGGGACTGCACAGAGATATTCAGAGCATTGCCCCCTAAAACAGCAGGAAACACATACTTCTGGAGTGTACATGGAACATTCCCTGGAACAGATCACATACTGCGTGAGAAATTAGGTCTCACTAGTACAAAAAGATTGACATCATACCATGCATATTTTTAGACCACAGAGCTATGAATCTTGAAGTTAACCACAAGAAAAATGTGGAAGGACCACGAGTACGGGGAGGTTAAAGAGCATCCTACTGAACAATGAAAGGAGAACAAGGAAATTAAAGAAGAGTTAAACAAATACATGGAAGCAAATGACAGCAGGACAACTCAGAGCCTTTGGGATACAGCAAAGGCGGTCCTAAGAGGGAAGTATATAGCAATATAAGCGTTCCTCAAAAAACAAGTTATTATTCTCCAATACACGACCTAACCCAGGAATGGACCCACAACTCTATGGTCAATTAATCTTTGACAAAGGGGGAAGGAATAGCCAATGGAAAAAAGACAGTCTCTTCAACAGATGGTGTTGGGAAAATTGGGCAGCCACATGCAAAACAAACAAACAAACAAACAAACAAACAAACAAACCCAGACCACTTTCTTACACCACAAACAAAAATAAACTCAAAATGCATAAAAGACCTAAATATGAGGAAGGAATCCATCAAAATCAAAATCCATCAAAAAGAGGAGAACACAAGCAACAACCTCTTTGACCTTGGCCACAACAACTTCTTCCTAGACATGTCTCTAGAGGCAAGGGAAACAAAACCAAACATGAACCATTGGGACTTCCTCAGGGAAAAAAAGCTTTTGCAGAGCAAAAGAAACAATCAACAAAACTAAAAGGCAGCCTACACAATGGGAGAAGACATTTGCAACTGACCTCTCAAGTAAAGGCCTAGTCTCCAAAATCTATGAAGAACTCATCAAACTCAACCTCCAAAACCCAAAAAATCCAATCAAGAAATTGCCAGAAGACATGAACAGACAAATCTACAATAGAACACATAAATGGCTGACAGACACATGAAAAAAATGCTCAATATCGCTCTTCATCTGAGTAATACAAATCAAAGCCATAATGAGATACCACCTCACACCGGTCAGATGGCTAAACTGAACAGCTCAGGAAACAACATATGTTAGCGGGGATGCAGAGAAAGGGGAACCCTCTTACGCTGCAGGTGGGAAAGTCAACTGGTGCCGCCACTCTCGGAATACTATGAAGGTTCCTCAGAAACTTAAAACTAGAACTACCCTATGACCCAGCAATTGCACTACTAGGTATGTATCCAAAGGACAGAAATGTAGTGATTAACGGGCACATGCACCCCAATGTTACTGCACCAATGTCCACAAGAGCCAAACTATGGAAAGAGCCCTGATGTCCATCGACTGATGAATAGATCAAGAAGACTTGGTCTAGATACACAATGGATATTACTCAGCCATCAACAAGAAGGAAATCTTGCCCCTTGCCACACTGTGAATGGAACTGGAGGGTATTATGCTAAGTGAATGAAGTCATTCAGAGAAAGACAAATACCATCAGATTTCACTCATATGAGGAATTTAAGATACAGAACTGATGAACTTAGGGGAGG